GTGATAGAGAAAAATTACATGAATTAAGAGCACCTAGTGTTCCTGCCTTAGTTTCCAAGGATCCTGGGTCTTTTCTTAGAGAATTGTTTTTTTGGGTTTTTTTGCATTTGTGTTTTACCATGCTGGGAGTTTTGTACTTTTTTTTTTCTGTCGGTTGTGGGGCTTGAACTTAGGACCTGGAAGCATCTTTGAGTTTTTTTGCTCAAGGCTAGCTCTCTACCAGTTTGAGCCACAGCACCACTTCCAGTTTTCTGGTGGTTCATTGGAGGTAAGAGTCTCATGGGCTTTCTTGCCCAGGCTGCCTTTGAACTGAGATTCTTAGATCTCAGCCTGCTGAGTAGCTAGGATTACAGGTGTGAGCTACCAGTGCACTGAGTTTAGTACCTTTTCGAACATTCTATCACTTCCTTGGCATTGCCATCAGTCCTTTTGTTTGTTTGTTTTTGGGGTCTGGTCATGGGGCCTGAACTCTGGGCCTGGGCACTGTCCCTCAGCTCTTCAGCTCAAAGCTAGTGCTCTACCACTTGAGCCACAGTGCCAGTTCTGGCTTTTTTTCTTTTTGCTTATGTGGTGCTGAGGAATGGAACCCAGGGCCTCAGGCATGCAAGGCAAGTGCTCTACCACGGAGCCACCTTCCCAGCCCAGGTACTGCTTCCTGAGGCACTGGCTGTTTCACTGCTACAGACAAAATTCCTTTGGCCACCTGGACTAGGTACAGTGAATGCCGAGAGGCACAAACCCCGATGAACACTAAGCACTGACCAGGAGGGAGGAGACAATGGTCATTCCTACCTTTCCTCGAAATGGCTTGCTATGACAGCAAGCTTGTTGGAGCGGCTCATAAATAACTGGGAGTTCCCAGCCCAGTCCTTTTGTTTTTAAGACAGGATCTGACTAACTTTGCTTAGGATGGCCTTGAACTTCTGATCCTCATGCCTCCTCCTCCAGAGTAGCTGAAATTACAGGTGTGAACCACCATGTTTGGCACTTTGCTTCTTGGCCAGCCACAAAATACTTCCAACATGCCATCATTTCAGGGCCCCTGGGAGCCACAAAACCAAACATGGTTTTCTTAGGTCTGCCCAACACTAGTAGGGAACTGGACGTGCATCTTTTCTTCCAGGTGAACCTGGGACCGGACAAATTGGTGGTGGACCTGACAGATCCCAACCGGCCCCGCTTCACCCTGCAGGAGTTGAGGGACGTGCTGCAGGAGCGAAACCAGCTTAAGTCGCAGCTGCTGCTGCTGCAGGAAGAACTGCAGTGCTACCGGAGGTGTGCAGGGCTGCGCACTGCGCTCACGCGCCCTCATCCACTTCACGGCCTGCCATGCGCCAGGCACTGTGGGGACAGTGGAAGATGGTGACAATCTGTAGTCTAGTGGGAGAGGCATGTTATCAAGAAGGAAGTGAAGCAGGGAGCCGGTGGCTCACGCCTGTCATCCTAGCTACTCAGGAGGCTGAGATCTGAGGATCGAGGTTCAAAGCCAGCCAGAGCAGGAAAGTCCATGAAACTCTTATCTCCAATAAACCACCAGAAAACTGGAAGTGGACTATAGCTCAAGTGGTAGAGTGCTAGCCTTGAGCTGTAGAGCTGAGGGATAGCACCCAAGCCCAGAGTTCAAGCCCCACGACCAACAAAAAGAAAAAAAAAAAGGAAGTGAAACCAGATTACTGGCATAGGACTGTAATCCCAACTACTCAGGAAGTGGCCATCAGGAGGATCATGGTTTGAAGTCAGCCTGGGCCAATACCCCAGCAATACCCCATCTCAATCAGCAAATAAGGCATAGTAATCCTAGCTACTTAGGAGGCTCAGATCAGAGGGTCACAGTCTGGGTAGGAAAGTCCTAAAGGCCGTATCTCCAATTAACCAGCAAAATGCTATACTGGAGGTGTGAGCTGAGTGGAGAATGCCAGTCATGAGCAAGCACACAGTACAAGCCAGCACAAATAAAGGAGCTGGAGTACAGCTGTATACATCATAATCCCAGTTATTCAGGGGGTGTAGGTAGAAGATTGGGGTCCAAGGCTGGCCCTGGGCAAAAACTCCAAACTCTATCCACAGCATAATTAACACAAAAAGGCTGAAGGCATGGCTCAAGTGGTAGAGCACCTGACTAGCAATGACAAGGCTGTGAGTCTAAACTCAAGTAAGGGAGGGAAAAAGGGAGGGAGGGAGGGAAGGAGGAAGGTGCAGCCTACAGTACAGAGGAATTGCTCCTCGTGCCGAGGCTGGAACCTTTTAATGGAAAGGCCTACCTTCGTCCCATTTGACAAGTAGTCAGGTCCAGGTAGTTATAGAGAAACTGAGTGCTCTGAGCAGCTGGTTAATGAGCAAAGCAATGCCCTGTATTTCCAGCTTTGACTTCCCAGAGAACCAGAGAGAGAGGACCCTGTGTGAGGCCCAGGCAAGCAAGGATTCTGCTCAGCCTCTGGTGAGGGCGGCACAGCCAAGATGTTTTCTTAGCAACTGCATTTACTTGCAGGGCCACACTCAGACTGATGATGTGCGGATAAAACCTGTGAATAAAGGGAGGCCCTGTGGTAGTTCCAGGCAGCTGGCTGGGGTCTTGCTCTACCAAAGGATCCAGGTCCCAAGCCAGCAAGACTGCATGTCATCATGACTCTAGGACTCATGCCTGTAATCAATCCTAGCAGTTTAGGAGACAGATGCAGGGGATTGGGCAAAGGCAGCCCAGGGGCCAGTGGCGCACGCCTGTCATCCTAGCTACTCAGGAAGCTGAGATCTGAGGATCATGGTGCAAAGCCAACCCAGGCAGTAAAGTCCATGAGACTTATCTCCAATAAACCACCAGAAAACCAGAAATGGTGCTGTGGCTCAAATGGTAGAGCACTAACCTTGAGCTGAAGAGCTGAGGGACAGCACCCAGGCCCAGAGTTCAAGCTCCATGACTGACAAAAAAAAAACAAAACAACAGCCTGGGTAGAAAATGTTGAAAAAAAAAAAAGAAAGAAAATGTTGATTCTTATCTCCAATTAACAAGTGAAAAGCCAAAAGTTAAAGCTGTGGTTCCAGTGGTAGAGCACCAGCCTTGAGCAAAAAGGCTAAGGGACAGCGCCCAGACCCTGAGTTCCAGCCTTCGTATTATGAACACAAAATTACATCCATTTGTTTCTTTCCCCAGTGGCCTGCTCCAACCAAGAGAAGCAACAGGAGGAAGAGAAAAAGATGGTGTGGTTGGCAGATCCAGGGGTGCCAGTGGTGTCACGGAGGAGAAGACCATCATGAGGAAGCTGTAAGTCACCGCAGCCACCCTCCTGTTTAACGCTGGCTGAAGGAAGGCATGCATGGGGTGAGGAGCTGAGGGGCCTGCTGTCACAGTGCAACCTCCTATGACCTTGGGCCTGTTGCTGACTGCAGAATTGTTGTATAAAATTAGCCAAAAATGGAAGCATCTAGAATAGTGCCTGTCTCATAAAAAGTACCGCGTGATTCTTGATCCCTGGCCTGCAAGATGAACTTACATCCTGTCCCCTCTACCCAGGTTTTCTTTCCGGTCAGGGAAGCAGACCTAACCTGATGGCCATGAGCAAAGCAGCCTCCGGCTTGAGAAGACAATCAAGGCAGCTTTCAGAATCATCTCTGTTCCATGCACCCACATGAGGCTTGCATGTGTCCCCAGGAGCAGTCCGAGGAGGAAGGGGCTGGGCTCTCTGGCTTCTGGGCTGCAGAACAGGGCAAGGAACACACATGGGGCTTCCTCTTGCCTGGCCTGCGTGTGCACATGGACCTGGCCACCGCTGGTCCTGGTCTTCAGTGCGCCAGGAAGTGCGACTCACTTCCGAGTCGTGACTCCACTGGTGGTGAGCGAACAGGCCTTCACTTGACTTTCTTTACATCACTTTGTATTAAAATGATCTTTATACTTTTAGAGCTGTGTAAGAGTGGTCTCCTGGAGTTAAGGCAGCCTGTATGGCTGGTGTTTGTGTACATGCCTATAATCCTAGGACTCTATAGGCAGAGGCAGCATGGCCAGGAGTTCTAGCCCAAGCTGGGCACCAGTGACTCATGCCCGTAATCCTATCTACAAAGTATGCCCTGTTTTGTTTTTGTTCTCTTTTTTTTTGGGGGGGGGGTTGGTTGTGCGGCTTGCACTCTGGGCCAGGGAGCCGTCCCTCAGCTCTTTAGCTCAAGGCTAGCGCTTTACCTCTTGAGCCACAGCACCACTTCAGGTTTTCTGGTGGTTTATTGGAGATCAGTTTCATGGGCTTTCCTGCTGGGGCTGGCTTTGCACCATGATCCTCAGATCTCAGCCTCCTGATTAGCTAGGATTACAGGCCTGAGCCACCAGTGCCTGGCTTTGCCTGTTTTAAATAAACATTAAAAATAAATAAGGGTAAGCCGGGCGCTGGTGGCTCACGCCTGTAATCCTAGCTACTCAGGAGGCTGAGATCTGAGGATCGCGGTTCAAAGCCAGCCCGGGCAGGAGAGACCGTGAGACTCCTATCTCCAGTAAACCACCAGAAAACCGGAAGTGGCGCTGTAGCTCAAGTGGTAGAGCGCTTGCCTTGAGCTGAAGAGCTGAGGGACAGTGCCCAGGCCCAGAGTTCAGGCCCCACGACCGGACCCCCCCCCCAAAAAAAAAAAAAAAAGAAAAAGAAAAAAACAAGGAGCTCTGCCTTCTAGGGGACATGCTCCAAAACACCTGAGCAGACTCTTAGCTCTGCTTCAGTTCTCAACTTAGCCCCATGTAGCCTTGTGATCAAAAGAAAGCAACAGGCTGGGCACACTGGCTCACGCCTATAATCCTCACTACTCAGGAGGCTAAAATCTGAGGATCACAGTTCAAACCCAGCCTAGGCAGAAAGTCTGTGAGACTCTTATCTCCACTATAGTTCCAAAAAGGCCAGAAGAGGAGCCCTACTTTTTAAGGGCGGGGCTCAGTGCTCAGCACCACAGGACCCTCCCCCACACACCTTGTTTCTGCTGCCACCTTACAAAAACAAAGACACACAGGTAACCGGCCTTGCCTGGCAATAAATATTTTAATTTTTTTCATTTTTATGATGACAAATAATTTTCAAGTTTTATTTCCTTTTTTGTTTGCTTAAGTACAAAGCTAAACCACAAATGGGCACAACCAAGCCATTTCATCTCACGTTTACACACCCTCGTCAGACCTTCCTCCAGTCTGATGGCCACTGGCCAGGCTAGTGGGGTTGGGGAAGACTTCTTAGGTAGCACCGTGGTGAGGTCCAGGGTGGGGGATGGAGGACAAGGGCCACTCCTCATACCCGTCTCTATTCACATTGCTCTGGGCGCGGGGCTGGCAGGAGCCCCGGCCTGGAGCTGAGCAGTGAGAGCTGCCCTACCCGTCCAGGGAGGAGGCAGCGTGCCCCACCTGCTGTCATGCTCCGCCAACACCTGAGCTTACCCTCGATCCTGGGCCATGGCAGCAGTGGGGGCCAGGGCCCTCCGTCCCGCCTGAGCTCATGGCTTGTTCACAGGAGCCAGGGGTTCGGACAGAAGAGGGCCTCCAGAGCCAGCGGGGACTCCGCCCGGCACAAGTGGGTGGGGCATCGGGTACGTAATTTCTGGTCCCACTACAAAACTTATTTTTGATTAGAATAGAGTACCATCTCATTCTCTTCTACAAAACAAAACCAAAAAGAAAAAAGAAACCCCAAACGAAACAAAAACCGCAGCCGCTTCACTCACTGCAAGACCTATACACACCTAAGTTGTTTCCTGTGAGTTTTTGAATTTTTTTTTGTTTTTAAATTTTTATTATTATTTTTTTTTAAAATAAACTCAGTGTTCACATTTCTATAAAGAGCCCCGTGTCAGGAAGGCCCACCCAGGGCTGGGGAGCGGAGCCTCTTCCCGGGGCCTCCACCCTGACGCTCCAGGCGAGGCCTGGAGCAGCGGCCTCTGGGGAAGCGATCTGGGCCGGCCTCGCTCGCAGCCAGCAGGGTCGGTAAGCTCAAGAAAGCAGAGGGGAAGACTAGCTTACTGCGAAACCTTTTTAAAAAATATTCATACTTCAACGTGTGCCTGTCAAGACACAAGGAGAACAAGAGCTTGGAGACGTGCCATCCAGGCCGGGCCGGGGCGCTGCGGCCTGCCTGTCCCGGACAGGTGTGGGGCACGCTCGCCCCGCTTCCTAGTTCATGTCTGACTCTTCCTTCTAAAACCTGTGCCGAGTCCTGGACCGCATGCACGGGAAGCACAAACGTTCCACTTGTATGCAAAAAAGGTACAAAACAACTAGAATATAAAAGTTTTGGTAATATAAGGCCATCTGTTCAAGCCCACTCAGGAACCTGTAAACAGATATTAAATACTACAGTGAGAAGGCATCTTAATATACTTTTTTTTTTTTTAAAAAACATCTGAAGTAATCTGCTAAGATTAAATGTGTAAAAAAAATCCTTTCCCTTTGAGGGCACTTAGTCCTGCACAGGAGGGCGGTGCGGTCAGTGCTTGAGCCACGGGTAGGCCTCTATGGAGGCCTTGCTGCGGTCGCCGTAGTCGTACAGCAGCTCCTCCCCCGCCTCGATATCGCGGGAGGCCACGAGGATGAGGTGAGGCACGCCGGCGATGTCGTGCAGTTTGGTCTGGCAGTTCCCACACTTGCTGTGATTGATCAGTCTCCCCAGGCGGTTTGTCTCCCGAGTGGCGTCCACACTGTGGAAGGGAGGGAGGCGGGAGGGGATTGAGTGGGCAGAGGCCTGAGGGGGCCCACTCCCCACGGGGGCAGGGCACTCACCAGTAGGTTTTGCTCAGGTACTGGAAGTAGTACATGTAGCAGCCTGTGGAGGGGTCCTGAGCATACAGCGCCTCTCTCTTCTTGGCGTCAGTGATCTCAATGAGGTCCCCGTGGTACTCCACCACGAAGTCTCCCCGGGAGAACCGCCGGGTGGCAATCACACCCCTGCCTTTGCCATCAATAAGGTCGATCTGTCAGGAGGTAATGAGAGGGTCACCATTTTTGACCAGCTCCCTAGTACCTGTGCCTGCCAGGTTGCACCATCCCCCTGCCCAGCTCCTTCCTATTATCAAAACCCTGACCCCCAGCAGGCCTGCTGCACAGGCCTGTGCCACCACACAAGGGGTGGAGCCCTGTATGCAGAGCAGCAATGTGCGTGATGAGCTCCAGCCCATGCTCTGCACTCCCAGAGTCCTCAGCGTTTACCCCTGGGGTTTCTCCTCACGTTTATAAATAAATCAAGTCTGAGAGTGGCTGCTTGGGGGGACCCAAGTTCAAGTCCTCATGAAGGGGGGCGGGAGGATTGGTTTCTGACCCTTGGCTCCCAGTCCAGGCCCAGGTAGCTACCTCTCCTGCATGCCTTTAACATACAAACCTGTGGTACAGCAGGCACTTAGCAGGCACCAGGCCTCCGGTGCAACCAGCAACAAAGAAAGCAAAGCAAAGCACTAGGATTACAGGACTGAGGAACCACACCTGGTTCTTTTTCATTTGTTGGTGGTGGTCATGAGGCTTGAACTCTGGGCCTGGGCACTGTCCCTCAGCTCTTCAGCTCAAGGCTAGCACTCTACCCTTCAGCCACAGCACCTCTTCCAGTTTTCTGGTGGTTCATTGGAGATGAGAGTCTCAGGGACTTTCCTGCCCAGGCTGGCTTTGCACAATGATCCTCCTCAGCCTCCTGAGTAGCTAGGATTACAGGTGTGAGCCACCAGCGCCTGGCTGTTATTTTCTATTTTTAAAAGTACAAGCACGAAGCTTTCCAATGCCACTGTGAGGAACAGGGGAACCCCTGTTGGAATGCAGCTGCATCCCAAATGGCTACCGCAACGAAAGCTTTACCACAGACCAAACAGATGATGCTTAGGAAAAACCGTCTAAGCAGTGGTGACTCCAAAGTCCAAGCAGTGGACAAGGATTCCAGTGGTATGAGGCCCATTCACAGGGCGGCAGGCTGGAGGGTGGGGTGGCTGCTGGCTCATGCACAGGTCTTCATTGGGGAAGTGACAGGCTCGCTGTTAGTCAGGGATGACAACTGCACGCTGCTGGCAATGCGCCGAATGTGACTGGGGTGTATACTTTAAAAAAGGGTAAATCAGTTGGGCGCCAGCGGCTCACGCCTGTCATCCTAGCTACTCAGGAGGCTGGATCTGAGGATCGTGGTTCAAAGCCAGCCCAAGCAGGAAAATCCGTGAAACTCTTATCTCCAATAAATGACTAGAAAACCAAAACTAACCTTGAGCTGAAGGACAGTGCTCAGGCCCAGAGTTCAAGACCCACGACTGACCAAAAAAAGAATAAAAACAAGGGTAAATCATGCCCCCCTCACGCCTGGGCGCTGTCCCTGAGCTTTTTTTGCTCAAGGTTAGTGCTCTACCACTTAAGCCACAGCGCCACTTCCGGCTTTTTCTGGTTATGTGGTGCTGAGGAATGGAACCCAGGGCTTCATGCATGCTAGGCAAGCACTCTACCACTGAGCACCTTCCCAGCCCCATGGGTATTTTACAATTAAAAAAGAAAAGTTCTGTGGGACAAGCCAGTCTCCTGCCTCTGGGAGCAGCAGACAGAGGTGAGCTGGCGCGGCGGGAGCCACTGCCGGCGGGGCGGGGCGGGGCGCTGCCCTTACCTTCATGCCCTCTTCCTTCCCGCTGTCAATGAGCTCGTCTATCCGTCTCCTTTCTTCCGACTGGGAGTGGACAGGAGGGAGGGAAGGGAAGAGCAGCATCAGTGTTCATGCTCTCCACACAGAAAGGCCGCCAACAGCTCCACCAGCCCTTTCCCGGTGATGCTGAAGCCCCAAGGCCCCCCTCCCCCACCTGGGGCAGGCCATCTGTCATCTGGAGCAGGGAAGCGGTACCCACAGAGGGATCTGAGGCCTGCTAAGATCTGGATCTTTCTTTGCTTTGCTGTTCTGGTACAGGGTCTGACTGTGAAGCCCAGGCTGGCCTCAAACTTCCCACTCTCCTGCCTCAGCTTCCGCACTTCTGGGATTTTGGATCCAATGGCACCAAGGGTTGAACTCGGGGCCTTGAGATTGCTAAGCAGGCGCTCTACCTCTTGGGCTACTCCACTAACACTAGTTTAGAGTGTAAGCATCCCCCAAAGGCCGCTGTGTTAAAGACTGGGCCCCTCTCCTATGTGGTACTATTGGAAGGCAGGAGAACCTTTAAGAGCAAAAGCCTAGTGTGGGTCTTCTGGCCATTCAGACGGCACTCGGAGGGGTCAGAGGACCTCAGCCCTTCCCCTCCCCAGCCATAAGCAGCGAGCTTGCCAGCGTGCTTCCATCACGGCAAGCTGCCTTACCCAAAGCAACAGTGCCGTCGGAGCAAGAGCATGAACTAGAGCCTCAAAACCCGACACAAAAAGGCCTTTTTTCTTTATAAAATAAGGTTCTGTAAGTCAGATATCTGTCACACAGATGGAACGAGAGCACTCGGCCTTTAGATATGCTGTGCGGCCCACGTAGTGGACTTAGTTCTCAAACCTCAGCCTCTAGCCAGGCACCAGTAGCTCATACCTGTAATCCTAGGGACTTCGGAGCCTGAGATATGAGGATCAAGGTTCAGAGCCAGCCTCAGCAGACAAATCTGAGAAAGTCTTATCTTCAATTAACCAGGAAAAAAACACGAGTGCAGGAGTGACTCAAGGGGTAGAACACCAGTCTTGCTAGAAAAGCCAAGTGAGAGCTGGGCTTTTTTCTAAGCAGCTTGCCTTCTGCTACTTCAGCCAAACCTCTGGCTCTGGTTTTTGGGTGTTTAATTGGAGATAAGAGTCTCAGACTTTCCTACCCAGGCTGGCAATGAATCAGGATCCTCAGATCGCAGCTTCTAGAGTAGCTGGAGTTACAGATGTGAGCCAAAAGCACTTGGCTAGCAGTCTTGACAAGTTCAACAGGGTAACCTAAGAAGGTGGTGAGGGGAAAGGATAGAGTCCACATCTACGAGAAGTTTCTATCTTCACAACTTCTCTATAAATCTAAATCAAGAAATTAAAAGTCCAAAGAAAGCTGGGCGCCATTGTCTGTAATTCTAGCTACTTGAAGCTGAGATCTGAGAATTATAGTTCAAAGCCAACCCGAACAGGAAAGTCATGAGATTCTTCTTTCCAATGAACCACCAGAAAACAGAAAATGGCACTGTGGCTCAAAGTGGTAGAGTGCTAGCCTTGAGTGAAAGAGCTCAGGGACAGTGCTCAGGCCAATGAACAACAACAAAACCCACAAAAGAGGGCTGGGAAGGTGGCTCAGTGGTAGAGCGCTTGCCTCACATGCATGAGGCCCTGGGTTCAATTCCTCAGCACCACATAAGCAGAAAAAAACAAAGTAGCATTGTGGCTCAAGTGGTAGAGTGCTTGTCTTGAACTGAAGAGCTGAGGAACCATGCCCAGGCCCAGAGTTCAGGCCCCACAACCAACTAGATAGATAGATAGATAGATAGATAGATAGATGGATAGATAGATAGATAGATAGATAGATCACAAAAGATGTCCACTGCTATGGAAATAAAATCCAGACTTTCTCCTACCTGATGTCCCCAGGTTCTGCAGGAAACCACCCACCTCCCAGCAGGCACAATCCCTCACACCAGCCCCACCTTCCACAGCCAGCTCTCCCCGAAGCCCAGTCTGTGCCTGCCTGTCCCCTCCTTCAAGCCAGCATCTGTTTGCTCTCTCCCTTCCTTCAGGGCTGGGTCAAAGCCACTTCCGCTCCTCCTGACCTCTGCGGCTCTGGCTCCAGGCCTCGCCACTCTCAACACCTCCACCTTGTTGTGTCTACTTGGAAGTGCTGTCTAGTTAGCTGGTGCTTCTGTGGGTCTCCAGCTCTTCACCAGCCCGGCCTGCATAGAAGCATTAGGAGTCCAGGAGTCTCCTACCAAAGATGGTGCCACAGATGAGCCTTGGAGATAGCAGAAGCAGTGCATGCTGGCTGCACAATGATCCCTGGAGCACAGCGGATGCATCAATGGGAGAACCCAGTGAGGCAACTAGGGAGACGGATGTGGCCCGGAGCGGTCACACTGAGCCCAGCAGAGCCGGGCAAGGCAGTCACAGCCAGCAGCCGCAGAGCACTGCAGTGAGTGCCGAGAGGCTTGGGCATCTTTCCAAGCCCATGCTGGGCTCAGATTTTGCGGCCCAGATTCCTCCCTTCTGCCCTGGACCTGGACTTGGGTGGGGCCCTGTCCCACCTGCTGTCTTCAGACACAGCCAGGTCTCTGGAGAGTCTGGCATTTCAGTCTCAGCTTCTCTGGCACATTGTTCCGGCCAGGTAATTAAGCCAGGACTCAGAGAAGTACAGCGCTCAGCCCCAGCCAGCACATCTTGGGGCCTTCTCTGTGCAGCCATCGGCAGCAGGCAGGGCTGCACACCCTCACTGAGGGCGCTGGCCAGCAGCTCACGTAGTGCCCACTCAGTAGAGCCACCACACATGGTGGGGCCCACGTGGCTTTTGCTTGCGCTGGCTCCTGGTGTGGTAACAGGGCAAGGACTTGGGAGTCCGCAGCCAGGCTCTGCAGCAGCCCTTCCCTGGCTCACCTGCTTCAACACGTGGCAGACCTGTGCTGCAGCCTGCTGCAGCCCTCCTCCTCCTGGCCAAGAGCCCTGGCCTCTTAGTAATGAGTCAAACTGGGCCGCTCCTGCCCACCATGCCCCCAGCAGCCAGCCAGGAGGAGAGCCGGGCCTGGGGCCCTGGGCCTGCACCACCTCCCCTCTGCAGTGCTGCCACTGTCAGCAGGGTTTTTTTTTTTTTTCTTGGTCATGGGTCTTAAACTCTGGGCCTGGGCGCTGTCCCTCAGCTCTTCAGCTCAAGGCAAGTGCTCTACCACTTGAGCCACAGCGCCACTTCCAGTTTTCTGAGTGGTTTATTGGAGATCAGAGTCTCACAGGGTGTGTGTGTGGGGGGGGGGGGGGATATGTAGTTGTGGAGATGGGAGGGAAGGGACGGTAAGGGAAAAACAAAGGAGGAGGTAACAAAGCTTAATAAGAAATGTACTCATTACCTTGCTCATATTATTGTAAGCCCTCCATACATAATTTTCACAATAAAAAACATTAAAAAAAAAGTCTCACAAGAGTTTCCTGCCCAGGCTGGCTTTGAACCGCAGATCCTCAGATCTCAGCTTCCTGAGTAGCTAGGATTATAGGCGTGAGCCACTTTTGATGGGTCATGGGGCTTGAACTCTGGGCAGAACACTGTCCCTCAGCTCCTTAGCTCAAGGCTGAGTGGTTTATTGGAGATAAGAGTCTCATGGACTTTCCTGCCCTTTCCTGCCCAGGCTGGCTATGAATGGTGATCCTCAGATCTCAGCCTCCTGAGTAGCTAGGATTATAGGTGTGAGCCACTGGTGCCTGGCTTCAGCAGGGTTTTCTTTCCTTTTTGGTTTTTTTTTTTTTTGTTGGTTGTGGGCCTTGAACTCTGGGCCTGAGCGCTGTCTCTCAGCTCTTCAGCTCAAGTCTAGTGCTCTACCACTTGAGCTTTAGCACCACTTCCGGTTTTCTGGTGGTTTATTGGAGATAAAGAGTTTCACGGTCTTTCCTGCCCGGGCTGGCTTTGCACTGCAATCCTCAGATCTCAGCCTCCTGAGTAGCTAGGATTACAGGCGTGAGCCACCAGCGCCCGGCTTTCAGCAGGATTTTCTAAAAGCCCGTTCTTGGCTCAGAGAAACTACCTTTTTCTGGAAATAAAGATGAAGCAGCTTGCTGAGAAAATGGACCCTGGTTTTTTTTGTTTGTTTTTTGGTCGGCTGTGGGGCTTGAACTCTGTACCTCAGCTCTTCAGCTCAAGGCAAGCGCACTACCACTTGAGCTACAGTGCCACTTCCGGTTTTCTGGTGGTTTATTGGAGATAGGAGTCTCATGGTCTCTCCTGCCCCAGCTGGCTTTGAACCTCGATCCTCAGATCTCAGCCTCCTGAGTAGCTAGGATTACAGGTGTGAGCCACCAGCACCCGTCTTGGACCCTGGTTTTGACTAAAATCTCAGTTCAGGAAATGGAGCAGATTATACAACTGAAGGCTTACCACAGTAGGATTGAAACCGGACAGTGGAGATGCTAAAACTGCCCAGGGTACGGTGCCCTCCTTGCAGGGGAAGAATGATCCTGAGCTCCCAAGTTCAGAAGGAGTGCCGAGAAACAGGACATGGCCACATCCTGGGGCTGCAGAACAGACTGGCAATGTCCACACTCCACTGCACCAAATACTGATGCCTGTGCCCAGCTGGCCACATGCACTATTGAGACCCCCAGCTGGCAGGCCGGTCTTCCCTCCTGGGCTCCGCAGGCTCTCAACTGTAAACAGGCAGGAGCCTCAGGAAGTGATGGCACTGGGAAGCCAGTGATGGCACTGGGGAGGGACAATGGCCCCCGTGTGCCAGATGTCGGTCTTTGTGTCCTATATCTATGAAGTCATCTCTTCCTTTTGATATTTTGTCAGTCATGGGGCTTGAACTCAGGGCCTACACACTGTCCCTGAGTTCTTCAGCTCAAGGCTAGTGCTCTACTGCTCTATAACTTTGAGCCACAGCACCTCTTCCGGTTTTCTGGTGGTTAACTGGGGTTAAGTTTCAGGGAGCTGGGTGCTGGTGGCTCATGCCTGTAATCCTAGCAACTCAGGAGGCTGAGATCTGAGGATCGCTGTGGCTCAAGTGGTAGAGCTCTACTCTTGAGCTGAGGGACAGAGTTCAAGCTCCACAACCAACAGAAAAAAGAGTTTTAAATGGAGGGGGTAACAATGCTCAATAGGAAGTATACTCATTACCTTGCTGATGTAACTGTAACCCTCTGTATAGCATCTTTACAAACAAAAATAAAAAAATAAAAATAAAAAGTTTCAGGGACTTTCCTGCCAAGCTGGCTTTGAACAGCAATCCTCAAATCTCAGTCTCCTGAATAGCTAGGATTTTAAATGTGAGCCACTGGCGCCCGGCCTTTTTGATTCTTTTTGAGACAGGGTCTATGTAGTCCAGGCTGGCCTCAAACTCTTGATCTTCCTGCTTCACTCACTGAATGCTGGGATTCCTTATATGTGTGACCCCATTATTATAATTCTTTTTTTTTTTTTTTTGTCAGTCGTGTGGCTTGAACTCTGGGCCTGGGCGCTATCCCTCAGCTCTTCAGCTCAAGGCTAGTGCTCTACCACTTGAGCCACTTCTGGTTTTCTGAGTAGCTTATTGGAGCTAAGAGTCTCATGGCCTTTCCTGCCCAGGCCTGCTATGAATGGTGATCCTCAGATCTCAGCCTCCTGAGTAGCTAGGATTACAGGCATGAACCACTATGCCCGGCTCCATTACTGTAATTCTTGCAACTCCACACATATTTCCATTTTACACAGGAGGTCAGAAGCCCTGTGTGCATAGGCTGGCCAAGCCTATACTACCAGAAAGTAGCTCCCAGACTCATGTGAACTTCAGGATTTCTACTAAGACAAACCCAAACAAGAACACACAGCCTTCCCTCCAGGCCCAGGCAGTCCCAGGCTCCAAATGGCACTGCTAACACATCCTGGAAAAGCCACTGTTGCAATAGCACTTGGCTTCGATTCCAAGCCACAGATTACAAGGCTCCTTCACAGAATCATCTAAATTAAGCAAGTCTCCTAGTGACCCCTATGAAGACAGAGCAAGCTTTGTGACAACTCCTGTAGAGTGAGAAGAGCAGGCTGGAGAGGCAGAGAGCTTGACCCAAGATGACACAAAGCAGGCTGGGGATGTGCATCTCCCCTCCCCCCCACCCCCAAGATGACACAAAGCAGGCTTGGGGTGTGTGCCTCCTGCCCTCCAAGCTCCAAGGTAAACCAGGATTACCTGCAGCTCAGCCTTGCTCTTCCTCGAGCTCCTTCGAACTGGGTAGAAGTCTGTGAGTTTTCGATTCTGTTGTGTTTTTCCTTGAACTCTGGATGAGCAGGAAACAACAAGTTCAGGACTGAAGCCAAATTCACACCCAGGGGGCACCTCAGCCCCCAGGAGGATGCACCTGGTAAACATGTCACTTAAGCACCTGTCCCCCACTGGAACTTCAGTGCAGGAGAGCTCAGCTGCGTCGGGGTCGGGGGCTCATATTCAAGGCCAGGCTGCCCAGTCTCCCATTGGGAGGGGCAGGGAAGGTCAGCCTTGAACTTTGGACAAGGCTGTACTGAGACACAGACTAATAATGGCATCAAGCTGATGACTCAGGGGATCTGAGCCTTAGCCGGAAGGGAGGCTGAGAAGCCAGGGCTTAATCCCAGGGGCCAACAGGTTCAGGGGCCACAGGAACGCAGCTGCTCTGTGAGGAGGGGTCCAAGCAACTTACTTTTTCCGAGGAGCAGGTTTGCCTTTGAGAGCCTTTTTCAGGGCTTGCTTGGCAACAGCTGCATTGGTAGGATCACAGGAAGAGGGTGGAGTTTTTGGAGGTTCTGCTGCTTCGGATTTTTGGTTTGGAAAAGGTGCCAGGGGACCTCTCCTGGCATCTTTGAACTTTTGTTCCTCTGATTTCATGGTGCTTCGTATCGCGTTCCCAGCATTTCTTTTCTCTGCAGCAGCAGGTGAGAAAGGCTTATTCTCTACTCTGGATCCCAATCCCTCCCTCCCTCCCTCCTTTCCTTCCTCCCTCCCTCCTTCCCTCTCTCTTGTTGATCATGGCGCTTGAACTCAGGGCTTGGGTGCATCCCTGAGCTTTTGTGCTCAAGGTTAGAACTTTCCCACTTTGAGCCCCAGCTCCACTTCCAGTTTTGGGGTGGTTAAATGGAGCCAAGAATCTCATGGACTGAGATCTCAGCCTCCTGAGTAGCATGATCACAGGTATGAGCCGCCAGCACCCAGCCTCTGGCTCCCAATTTCTAAACATCATCTGTGCTCTACAGCAGGGTGAGAAGGGCCGTGGAGTATGAGGTAGCAGTGTCTGGGGCCGGCACAGCAGGGTGAGAAGGGCCGTGGAGTATGAGGTAGCAGTGTCTGGGGCTCTACAGCAGGGTGAGAAGGGCCGTGGAGTATGAGGTAGCAGTGTCTGGGGCCGGCACAGCAGGGTGAGAAGGGCCGTGGAGTGTGAGGTAGCGGTGT